GTAGAATGTCGGATAGAAACACCCAAAGAAAATAAAATGTAAAGGACAAGGGAAATAAAAAATGTAAAGGAAAACAGAAAGAAAAAAAAGAAGAAAGAAAAAGAAAGAATGAAAGGTAGAATGTCGGATAGAAACACCCAAAAAAAATAAAATGTAAGGACAAGGGAAATAAAGAAATGTAAAGGAAAGAAGAAAGAAAGAAAAAGAAAGAAAGAAAATGAAAGGTAGAAAGAAAGAAACACCCAAAGAAAATGAAATGAAAAGGGAAATAAAAATGTAAAAAAACAGAAAAAAAAGAAAAAAGAAAAAGGTAGAAAAAAGAAAAAAGAAAATAAAATGAAAAAAGTCGGATAGAAAGAAAGAAAGAAAGAAAGAAAATAAATGTCGGATAGAAAAGGAAAAAGAAAATAAAACAAAAGGACAAGGAAATAAAAAAATGAAAACAGAAAAAGAAAGAAAAAGAAAGAAAAAAGAAAGAATGAAAGGTAGAATGTCGGATAAAAACCCCAAAAGAAAATAAAATGTAAAGGACAAGGGAATAAAAAATGTAAAGGAAAACAGAAAAAAAGAAAGAAAAGAAAAGAAAGAAAGAAAGAAAGAATGAAAGGTAGAATGTCGGATAGAAACACCCAAAGAAAATAAAATGTAAAGGACAAGGGAAATAAAGAAATGTAAAGGAAAAAGAAGAAAGAAAAAAAAAAGAAAATGAAAAAAAGAAAAACAAAGAATGAAAGGTAAAAAAAAAATGTCGGACAAACAGAAAGAAAGAAAAAAGAAAGAAAAAACAAAAAAGAAAAGAAAGAAAAATGAAAATAGAATGTCGGATAAAACACCCAAAGAAAATAAAAATGTAAAGGACAAGGGAAATAAAAAAATGTAAAGGAAAACAGAAAAAGAAAAAGAAAGAAAAGAAAGAAAGAAAAGAATGAAAGGTAGAATGTCGGATAGAAACACCCAAAGAAAATAAAATGTAAAGGACAAAAAATAAAATAAAAAAAGGTAAAACAGGAAAACAAAAAAAAGAAAGAAAAAAAAAAAGAAAAAAGGTAAATGTCGGATAAAACACCCAAAAGAAAATAAAAATGTAAAAGACAAAAAGGAAATAAAGAAAGAAATGTAAAGGAAAAAGAAAGAAAAGAAAAATGAAAAAAGAAAGAAAAGAAAAGAAAGAAAGAATGAAAGGTAGAATGTCGGATAGAAACACCCAAAGAAAAACCCAAAAAAAAAATAAAATGTAAAGGACAAAAGGGAAAAAAAAAAAATGTAAAAACACCCAAAGAAAACAAATGAAAGAAAAAAAGGAAAACAGAAAGAAAGAAAGAAAAGAAAGAATGAAAGGTAGAATGTCGGATAGAAACACCCAAAGAAAATAAAATGTAAAGGACAAGGAAATAAAGAAATGTAAAGGAAAAAAAGAAAGAAAGAAAAGAAAAGAAAAAGAAAGAAAGAAAAGTTAGAATGAAAGGTAGAATGTCGGATAGAAACACCCAAAAGAAAATAAAATGTAAAGGACAAGGAAAGAAAAAATGTAAAGGAAAAGACAAGGAAATAAAAAAGAAAGAAAGAATGAAAAAGGTAGAATGTCGGATAAAAACCCAAAGAAAAAAAAGGACAAGGGAAATAAAGAAATGTAAAGGAAAAAAGAATGAAAGGAAAGAAAAAGAAAAAAAAAGAAAGAAAAAAGAAAGAAAGAAAGAAAGAATGAAAGGTAGAATGTCGGATAGAAACACCCAAAGAAAATAAAATGTAAAGGACAAGGAAATAAAAAGAAATGTAAAGGAAAACAGAAAGAAAGAAAGAAAGAAAAAAGAAAAGAAAATAGAATGAAAGGTAGAATGTCGGATAAAAAGAAACCCAAAAGAAAATAAAATGAAAGAAAAAAGAAATAAAATGTCGGATAGAAATGTAAAGGAAAAAAGAAAGAAAAGGGAAAATAAAGAAAAAAGAAAAGAAAACAAAAAAAGAAAGAAAAAAGAAAGAAAGGTAGAATGTCGGATAAAACACCCAAAGAAAATAAAATGTAAAGGACAAGGGAAATAAAAAAATGTAAAGGAAAAGAAAGAAAGAAAGAAAAAAAGAGAAAGAAAGAAAGAAAAGAAAGAATGAAAGGTAAATGTCGGAAAAAAGAAACAAAAAGAAAAAAGAAAAATAAAAGAAAATGGAAAGGAAAAAGAAAAGAAAAAGGGAAAGAAGAAATGTAAAGGAAAACAGAAAGAAAGAAAAAAGAAAAAAGAAAGAAATGAAAAGGTAGAATGTCAAAAAAAAAAAAAAATAAAATGTAAAGGACAAACAGAAAAAAAATGTAAAGGAAAAAGAAAAGAAAGAAAGAAAAGAAAGAAAGAAAGAATGAAAGGTAGAATGTCGGATAGAAACACCCAAAGAAAATAAAATGTAAAAAAAGACAAGGGAAATAAAAAAAATGTAAAAAGAAAGAAAACAGAAAAAAAGAAAAATGAAAGAAAGAAAAAATGTAAAAAAACAGAATGAAAGGTAAGAAACAAAGAATGTCGGATAGAAACACCCAAAGAAAATAAAATGTAAAGGACAAGGAAATAAAAGAAATGTAAAGGAAAAAGAAAAAAAGAAAAGAAAGAAAGAAAAAGAAAGAAAAGAAAATAAAGGTAGAATGTCGGATAGAAACACCCAAAATGTAAAAAACAAAAAAATAAAAAATGGAAAAGAAAAAAGAAATGTAAAGAAAAAAAGGAAAGAAAGAAAAAGAAAGAAAAGAATGAAAAGGTAGAATGTCGGATAGAAACACCCAAAGAAAATAAAATGTAAAGGACAAACAAAAGAAATGAAAGGAAAAAGAAAGAAAGAAAGAAAGAAAGAAAGAATGAAAGGTAGAATGTCGGATAGAAACACCCAAAGAAAATAAAATGTAAAGGACAAGGGAAATAAAGAAATGTAAAGGAAAACAGAAAGAAAGAAAGAAAGAAAGAAAGAAAGAAAGAAAGAATGAAAGGTAGAATGTCGGATAGAAACACCCAAAGAAAATAAAATGTAAAGGACAAGGGAAATAAAGAAATGTAAAAAGGAACAGAAAGAAAGAAAGAAAGAAAGAAAGAAAAGAATGAAAGGTAGAATGTCGGATAGAAACACCCAAAGAAAATAAAATGTAAAAAGAAAAAGGAAATAAAAAAAAGAAATGTAAAGGAAAAAAACAAAGAAAATAAAAAGGGAAAAAAAAAATGTAAAAAAAAGAAAGAAAAAGAAAAGAAAAAAAAAAGAAAAAAGTAGAATGTCGGATAGAAACACCCAAAGAAAATAAAATGTAAAGGACAAGGGAAATAAAGAAATGTAAAGGAAAACAGAAAGAAAGAAAGAAAGAAAGAAAGAATGAAAGGTAGAATGTCGGATAGAAACACCCAAAGAAAATAAAATGTAAAGGACAAGGGAAATAAAGAAATGTAAAGGAAAACAGAAAGAAAAAAAAGAAAAAACAATCAAAAAAAAAAATGAATGAAAGGGAAATAGAATGTCGGATAAAAACACCCAAAGAAAATAAAATGTAAAGGACAAAAAACAAAAAAATAAAATGAAAACAAGGAAACAGAAAAAAAAAAACAGAAAGAAAGAAAGAAAAAAAAAGAATGAAAAAGGTAGAATGTCGGATAGAAACACCCAAAGAAAATAAAATGTAAACAAAAATGTAAATAAAACAAAAGTAAAGGAAAAGAAAGAAAGAAAGAAAGAAAGAAAAGAATGTCGGAAAAAAAAAAGAATGAAAAGGTAGAATGTCGGATAACAGAAACAAAGAAAGAAAAAAAAAGAATGAAAGAAAGAATAAAGGACAAAAAGAAAAATAAAATGTAAAGGAAAAAAAAAGAAATGTAAAGAAAGAAAAGAAGAAAGAAAGAAAAAAGAATCGGTAGAATGTCGGATAGAAACACCCAAAGAAAATAAAATGTAAAGGACAAGGGAAATAAAAAAATGTAAAAAAACAGAAAAAAGAAAGAAAGAAAAAAAAAGAAAGAATGAAAGGTAGAATGTCGGATGAAACACCCAAAGAAAATGTCGGATAAAAAACCCAAAGAAAAAAAAATAAAAAAAAGAAAGAAAGAAAGAAAGAAAAAATGAAAGGTAAATGTAAAGGAAAACAGAAAGAAAATAAAAATGTAAAGGAAAGAAAAAAGAGAAAGAAAGAAAGAAAGAAAAAAAAGAATGAAAGGTAGAATGTCGGAAACACCCAAAGAAAATAAAACCCAAGGGAAATAAAAAATGTAAAGGAAAACAAAAGAAAGAAAGAAAAGAAAAAATGAATGAAAGGAAATGTCGGACACCCAAAGAAAATAAAATGTAAAGGACAAAATAAAAAAAAAAATAAAAGGAAAACAGAAAGAAAGAAAAAAGAAAGAAAGAATGAAAGGTAGAATGTCGGATAGAAACACCCAAAAGAAAATAAAATGTAAAGGACAAAGGAAATAAAAAGAAATGTAAAGGAAAACAGAAAGAAAGAAAAAAAAAAGAAAAGAAAAGAATGAAAGGTAGAATGTCGGATAAAAACACCCAAAGAAAATAAAATGTAAAGGACAAGGAAAAAAAAATGTAAAGTAAAACAGAAAGAAAAAAGAAAGAAAGAAAGAATGAAAAAATAGAAAAACAAAAGAATGAAAGGTAAAGAATGTCGAAAGAAAAAACAAAGAAAGAAAATAAAATGTAAAGAAACAAGAAAGAAAAAAATGTAAAACAAGGAAAAAAGAAATGAAAAGGAAAACAGAAAGAAAAAAAAAGAAAGAAAGAATGAAAGGTAGAATGTCGGATAGAAACACCCAAAAATAAAATAAAATGTAAAGGACAAAAAATAAAGAAAAACAGAAAAAAAAAGAAAAAAAAGAAAGAAAGAATGAATGAAAGGTAGAATGTCGGATAAAAAACAAAAAAAACAGAAAATGTAAAAGGAAAAGAAATAAAAAATGTAAAAAGGGAAAACAGAAAGGAAAGAAAAAAGAAATGTAAAAAAAGAAAAAAGAAAGGAAAAAGAAAGAAAAAGGTAAATGTCAGATAGAAAAAAAGAAAAAAAAAGGAAAAGGGAAAAAAAAAAAAAAAAGAGAAAAGAAAGTGAGAAAAAGAAAGAATGAAAAATGTCGGAAATTAACACCTAAAGAAAAAAAATGAAATGAAATAGGTAAAAAAAAAAAAATGTAAAAAGAAAAAATGGCAGAAAGAAAAAAAAGAAAAAAATGTAAAGAAAAAAAAAAAAAAAAAAAGAAAAAAAGAAAGTGAGAAAAAGAAAAAAAGGCAAATGTCAGAAAAGAAACAAAGAAAAAAATGTAAAGGAAAAGGAAATAAAAAATGGGAAAAAAAAAAGAATGAAGAAAGAAAAAAAAAGAAAGAAAAAAATGAAATGTAAAGGAATGTCGGATAGAAAGAAAAGAAGAAAATAAAATAAAAGAAACAAGGGAAAATAAAGAAATGTAAAAAAAAAAAAAGATAATGAAAGAAAGGAAAAAAGAAAAAAAAAAGAAAAAAAAGAAAGAAAAGAAAAAAAAAACAGGAATGAAAAAAGAAAAGAAAGAAAGAAAGAAAAGAAAAGAAAGAAAAAAAAAAGAAAAAGAAAAGAAAGAAAGAAAGAAAGAAAGACAGAAAGAAAATGAAATGTAAAGGAAAAGGGAAAGAAAGAAAAATGGGAAAGAAAGAAAGAAATAAATAAAGAAAGAAAGAAAGAAAGAAAGAAAGAAACGATGTAAACCGGAGAAAGGAAGAAGGAAAGACAGCGGTAAAAGAAAGAAAACAGTTAAAAGAAGAAGAAAAAACAGACAAATATCTGATAATGAAATGGAACGGACGCGAGAAATTTCGTGAATTTGAAAAGGATAAAAAGAAAGAAAGAAAAAAAGAAAGAAGAAAACGAAGGACAGAGACTGAAAGAACGAATAAAATAATAAAAAACAGGAATAAAACCTGAAATACTGAACATTGTTTTTAAAGAAATTGAAGAATTCGAATTCTGGTTTCCAAGATAGTTATTTCATCCACTGAGATATTGGTTCAACATAATTTCCCAAATTCGCATTTAACCTTGCCAAAGTTAGGTTTCACAATTCCTCACAATATCAGAAATGGTAAACCAGAGAGTGCATGATACAAGTTAACGCCTTTTCCATTCGCGATGTTCCTGGCGATAGAATAATTGACAACAGAGTCAAAACTGCCATCTCCTTTCTTGATCCGACTTACAAACTGCCAGTTCGTTCACAACAGGAAAATTTCCCGGAGCTTTTCAACTCGATCTAATTGATCGCTGAAGATTATGGCGTATATTAAAAGCTCTTTTTTCCCAACCCCTTACAGCCTATCTGCACGAAGTGCGCCGACATTGAGCTATATTGCCTTCTCTAAGGGAACTGTCAGAAACATGGATTCAAAGGTGGGGCCGAAATAAACGTCCCCGGGCCCGCGCTCACTTGAAGCGAATACATCAAGCTTTGTTCCTTTCTTCGGTCAAGTGTCCGATTTTACACACCTCTGCCTACAGATTGGCATAAGCATCGTCCGGTGATCACGGCACGGCAAACGTGGTGAATTATAAGACGTAATTAGCAAAGTTAAACAAGGGCTGTATATAATGAAGCCATACTTTGATTCGCATTTTAATATCACTGCGTTTTAAATAATATTTTCAATATTGAGATCTGAAATACCATAAAGAATAAAACAAGAAATAAAAAATGGAAATATATATAAATATATATATATATATATATATATAATGTGTGTATATATATAATAAATATATATATATATATATATATACACATGTATATATATATGTATATATATATATAATATAAAAATGTATATATACATATATATAAGAATATAAAATGAAAATATATATATATATATATATATATATATATATATATATATATATATATATATATATATATATATATATAAAAAGAAAAAAATAGAGAGAGAGAGAGAAAAGAAAAAAATACATATATATTATAAATAGACAAAGTCCGATAATTATTTTATGATATTTGTCGGCACGTCAGGCGAGATGACAGTTCCGTGTAGGGTACAAGTTCGATTCTTGTCGGAGGACGAATATTTTCTATGACAATTTCTCGGACATTCAGGCCGGTAAATGTTGTTTAATACTGTTTAATATAAACAAAAGCATTTATTTAAATACTTGTATCTATAAGAAGAATGTATAAACATAAAAATATCTTATATATATATATATATATATATATATATATATATATATGTGCGTGTGTAGCAGCAATCCTTCTTTCATGTACATTTCATTGAATACGACAGACAAGGTTATTTTACTTAGATTTTTATATAATTTATTATAATTTTAAATAAATAAACTAATAGAAAATATGTTTTTTTCGCTGCACAGTAATAACCATGTTTCGAAAATTTAAGCTAAAAACTTTAAATTTAATTATATAATTAAATTAAAAGCATTAGTTCCGTTTCATTTTCAAGCGAATATAGGAATAACTTATTTTTAAATTTACTGCAATATTCGCTTGAAGATGAAACGGAACTAATGCTTTTTAAATTATATAATTAAATTTGAATTTTAACTTCAGTTTTTGAAACATGAATTTAAAAAAAAAAATTTATATTCAGTTAATTTATAACCTTTATGCTTCCTCGTAAATTTTGAGCACTCTTTTGCAAAATAAAATAGAAAAATATCAATAGGAAGACCGGATTAAATGTTAATGTTTCTTTCCAAATATATATATATATATATATATATATATATATATATATATATATATATATATAAATATATATATATATATATATATATATATATATATATATATATATATATATATATATATATATATATATATATATATAATGTCTCTCTATATATATATATATATATATATATATATATATATATATATATATATATATATATATATATATATATATATATATATATATATATATATATTATATATCTATATATATATATATATATATCCATTATATAGATATATATAAATATATATATATATATATATATATCCATATATATATATATATAAATATATATATATATATATATATATATATATATATATATATATATATATATCTCCTATATATATATATATATATATATATATATATATATATATATATATATCCATATATATATATCCTTTATATATATATATATATATATAATATATATACAGTAGCGTCCAAAACTAATGGACACAATTTTAAACCTAATATTTGTTAGAAATAACAACTGTGAAAAGTTGAAATTTTATTATAGTTTATCATCCAAATAACATACTAAAATTTGAATCATTTGCAAAAGGATAGAAAAGAATTATAACAATTATTTATTTATTTTCAAATTTGGAACGTCCAAAAGTAAGGGACAAAATTGAGAAAAACAATGTAAACGACAAAAAAACAATAAAAATACATGTACAATCAATATTTAGTAAATGAGCCCTTGCTCTCAATGACAGCTGCACATCTTCGACTACAAGAACGAATCAGTTGTTGACAATCCTCGATACTAATTTTAGACTATATTTCTTGAAGCTTCACCCACAAATCCTCCGTGTTAGTGGGATTTCTTTCCATAACTTTCACACCTAAGGTCTTCCAAAGATTTTCTATTGAATTTAAGTCAGTGGCCAATCCATAATTTCCAAATCTTGCTCGCTAAGGTAACTCATTACCACCTTTGCCTTGTGACATGGGGCATTATCTTGCATAAAGGTAGCCCTATCGAAACCTAAATTTTGTATGATTGGCACAACATGATCTTGAACAATGTTTTTGATGGATCTGCGCGTTTACACGAGTTTGTAACCGGACAAGAGGCGTTGTACCTTGGATAGAAAACATTCCAAATACCATGACGCTTCCGCCCCCAAACTTGACAGTTTTCTTAGTATACTTTGCACTTAATATTTCACCAATACCTCTCTTTACATTGTTTTTTCGATCATTTCCAAATAAATTAAACTTGCTTTCATCACTGAAAAATACTTTTGCCCAATTTTCATATGTCCAAATTACATACCTGTTTGCAAACTCTAATCTCTTCTTATTCTTCGAACTAACAAGTGGTTTTTTCCCTGGGGTTCGATTAAACAGCCCTATTTCTTGCAGTCGTCTAGAAACAGTCTGTCTTGACACATTAACACATGAGTTACTATTCAAAACCCTTTTAATTTCTGTGCAAGACTTAAAACGGTCCTTTAATGACATACGCTGCATTATTCGATCTTCTCTTGCCGAAGTTTTGCGGGGTCTGCCGGTTTTAAAAGCACTAACTATTTTGCCAGTATCATTGTAGGATTTAACAACCCTGCCTACAACACTTTTGGAACGTTTCACTTTCTCTGAAATCTCTCTAATGGTGTGCTTTTCCTTGTGTAGCTTCACAATAGTCTCACAGAGTAATCAAGTTTTTGGCGTTTCGCCATGGTGCCGGCTGATGCAACGTTTACAAATGACTAAGTAAGGCTTATTCTTTAGAGGAAATCAAAAAATTTGAATATAGCATACTGTTTACATTGTTTTTCTCAATTTTGTCCCTTACTTTTGGACGATCCTATTTTGAAAATAAATAAATAATTGTTATAATTCTTTTTCTATCCTTTGCAAATGATTCAAATTTTAGTATGTTATTATGGATGATAACGACTACCAATTTTCAGCTTTTCACAGTTGTTATTTCTAACAAATATTAGGTTTTAATATTTTGTCCCTTAGTTTTGGACGCTACTGAATATATATATATATAATTACTGATGATCCTTAAAAATCCGTTCGGTTATAAATTATTTCATGAATACATACAAATATTGATCGCTTTCAGTTTTCTTTTCTTTTTTTTTAATAAATGGAGTCAATTTGTCCAGACGAAAGGAAGAGGGATAGGAAGAAGAAAAAAGAAAAAAAAAGAAAGGGAACAATTATATTACAAGTAGAAGACAGAAAATGAAAATATAAGGATTTAAAAAGAAAAAAAAGATGGTGGCGCGGTATGTAGAAAGAGATGGGAAGAGAGGGGAGGGGCTGTTAAAGAAGTTGAAAGTGTTCTTTGAATTAGACTTGAATTGTTGGTCCTGTTTTATATGGAATTTTTATTTCCTTTCTTCTTTTAAGATAAAGTAGAAAGGAAAGAGGAAAAAAACCTTTTGCACAAATACTACTTTCTGGAATGAAAAATAGCAAATACGAAATTTCGTGTTAGCAAGCCGCCATTATATATATATATATATATATATATATATATATATATATTATATCTTTATAGTGGTTGCTTGAGTCCCTTTTCTTTCCTGAACCTTTATTCTTCGAATTAATTCTTCGAATTAACAACGAAACGGATAGAATTTATTCTCGAAGACATTATGTATGCCTAAATTGTTAAGTTCTCTATAGGTAGCCCTTTCGGTCCTTCTTTAGCTAACATTTTTGTTGGATATTATGAGAGCCTGTTTCAGAAATCTCAAAAACCATATATATTTATATACATATACATATATATATATATATATATATATATATATATATATATATATATATATATATATATATATATTATTAAAGAAACTATACTCGTTTGGAAAACCTTTAGTATATTGATTTGCAAATAATCAAACCAATAACAAAGGGAAAAAAAGTTATAAAAAAGTAAGAACCAAGAACATGTAGGTTAGCCGAAAATAATCGTCCAGCATTCAAGTCCAAAACCGAAAGAAAAAAAACCGATACGAGTAAGCACAATAACTAAATAAAGTGCTCAATACAATGAGTAGAGCATACCTAGTTAAACCTAGAGAGCCAGACAAACCTACTGAGTTTTCACCTAAGCGGATCGTCAGCCTTACCGCTTACATAACAAACAAGACTTATCCAAACAAATAACTGAAAGCTTTAAACGAAGCGCTGATCTTATAAAGCTTTCAGTTATTTGTTTGGATAAGTCTTGTTTGTTATGTACATCGTCTTTGTCATGTTGTATTGATAATGTTATATTTATGAATATGTCCTGAAGATGGTTTATTAGACCGAAACGTCCGACGTTGACATATTAACATTAAAACTGCATAATTGTATATAAAGGATTTTTGTTTTGTTTTTCCGTATATATTTTTCATATATATATATATATATATATATATATATATATATATATATATATAACAGATAAACTCTTTTCATCTATCCTTCGTATTCGCAAGGTGAAGGAGAATAATTCTCTTCCTTTTCTAGATGTTTTGGGTGAACGTAAAGACAGAAAGTTTATTACTAGTGTTTATCGTAAACCAACATTTAGTTCTTTATACATTAGACG